GTTTCGTCTTGTTTCTGACTGATGTTTTCATAGTCAGATTTAAATTTTGTGCCCACAATTAAATTAACTATGCTGTTTTATTTATTTATTTATTTATTTATTTATTTATTTATTTATTTATTTATTGTATTTCAGCATTATTAAGACATTAAAGGTAACTCTGGGCAGGCACAGGTAGGTGAAAACCACACTAATCTCTGCAAAAATCTAGTTTTGCTCCACAAGATATGGATCTCTTTTATTTTTATTTTTTTTATAGGCAGCGTGGGCTCAACATCAAGCCCTGCAGCTCCTAACTGTCTGTGCCAACACCAGCCCCCTGTGATTGTAAATGCGTGTGCGTGTGTGTGGTTGGATGTACTTCAGGGACACTCTTTCTGATGCCTTCTTTCCTGAATTTCTTTCTTGTTTAAGCATGTTTTCCAACCTACTAGATCAGTATATTGGTTTTACTTTCCTTGTTTAAGGAAACACATTTTTGATGTGTAAAAAAAAAAAGAAAAGATGATTCCCTCATGTGCAGATGTCTTAGATTGTAAGGTAGCTATGTAAAGCATATTTTCACCTTTTTTGATGCATGTATTTCCAGCGTCCATCATTCAAGTATTGAGTTAAAGTAAAAAAAATTAATAAATAAATAAACCTGCCCAGATTTGGCATTGATGAATGGGCCTCCATGACATATAAACCTCACAGAAACCGGACATTTGAATCCCCTATTTGTTTTAAAGCAAAAAGGGTGAAAATCAATGTGACGCCGGTGAATTTGCAAACATCAGATTTTTTTTTTTTCTACTAAATTAACTGCAGATAAACTAATGGTTGGATTCAGAAAAAAAGAGTGCAATAAAATGTGCTGCAGTTAAAGATGAATTTATTTTAAATCTTTTCAACACAACTTTACCAATAACTGCAGGTAAAAAGTAAAAGCATCTAATAATAAGGGTTAGAAGTTGTGTTTAGCTGAGACTGAACCATTTGCTCCTTCACCCAACAATAATTCATTGTTAGTGAACATATTAACCTTTAAACAGACTACAGTCCTGCTTAGCTGTCTTAGCTCCAGGGAAGCTTTGCTCTTCCAGAAAGGTGATGGGCTGATGGACCAGTCTGTTTACTGGTGGACTGACTGACTCTAACTGGAAGATCACACTTGAAACCCACTAATGATCACTGACCTCTGTACTGTATTTGTTTTGTTTAACATAGTTTGTTGTTGTGTGTTTGTATTAATGAAAATCTGTGGGGGACGTAAATGCCGCGAAACAACAGAGCGAGTGTAAGCTGGTGTAAAGAGATGTGTGTTAATTAGCTTCCAGAAAGTGTCTGGAGGAGAAATCTCAGACAGTGACTCCCCACCAGCCCATAATGAGCTGTGGTCAGGCTGAAGCAACCCTCACCACAGTTTCTGTCAGGAATTGGGCAATTGCCATAGTAACCTTTAAGTCTGTTTCTGCCTCAGAGGTTTAGGTGCAGCCTTTGGAAAGATGCTACTGTAGCTCCAGTTTTTCAGAGAAATTAAAAATGTCACTTCTGCTTCATTGTTGTTAGTTTTTTTTTTTTTTTTAACATAAAAATCTATGGAAACTCAGAATAAAATGTTTAAAGCTTTGGATTCCAGATTATGATACCCTTTACTAATCAAATTATTAGATTAAAACGTCTTGCATTCTATAATCTACAGTAAAATTAAAATGTTTTAAAATACTTTAGGAAATGTGTTGGTAATGTTAGTTTAATCCAACATTTGGAGCTCAGGCTGAGGAAATTAGGTCCTATTATACTGTGACAAAACTACAAACTTCACAATGCAGAAAATAAAAAAAATATCCAGTTGAAAGAAATTTGTCCTCTGTTATTGACTTTTTCCACAAACCAGTGAAAGGACTCTACTCTAAAAATCAAAATATTCTTGTTATTCCGTCCTCGTTGCTCTATCGTCGTGGGAGAGTTTATATTGAAAACATTCAGTAGCTACAATGTAAGGTCTTTAATAACTGGCACTTGGATATAAGCCGCTCAAGTCACTTGCAAAAGATGGAAAACACAAATTTAAATTGAAAGTTATGTTTAAGTTGCTTAATTTATTCAGCTATTTTTTATATAAAAAATGTCGAGGTTTAAAAAACATCTTGCAGTGTATAAAAATCAACAATTGAAATCTTTAATGGGAAATAAAACCAGGTCTTCACTTTATATCAACTTCATTTGTTAAAGAAAACAGTGGATAACTTCAAACCTCTTTAAACAAGGTCCTCTTTTTAAAAGGAATTGGGGATATCGAGAGTTTTTTTGTATTTTTCTCCGTGTGCATTGACACCGGGTTCATATTTTTGTACGCAGGATGAGCAATTAAAGTGGGGAAATTCCTGTAAAAAAAAAAAAAAAGACAAAAAAGTATTGGTCGCAGTGGTTAGGTTCAGTTTGCTTTATGATTGTGTGGTTGGGTTTTGAGTCAACAGCGATCCAGCTGGAAAGACAGAAACTGTGCATAGGCTCAAATGTACACAGAAAAGCAGCTGAACATTTTGCACGTAATGACAATGTGGTAAAGCTGCTGACTTGGGTCCCGACTATTTATGTGTAAACGCTTCCTGAAAGAAAAGTTCTTCTGTTAAAAAATGGTAACTTCTGATATTCTGAGGTCATAAATCTTGCACCAAAGTGATTTGTCCATTTAAAATAGAATTTTAACTCCAGTCTATATAAAATGATCGATTTCACAGAAGCACACATTTTTACCGACTACACTTACTTTTGTGCCCACACTGAACTCATCTAAATTGGATAACTGATGTGACAACTGTTGCAAATATTTCAGCAGGCGATCTGAAACCCTGATTTCTTTTATGTAAATAAAAAAGAAGTTTCATACTAAAGAAAACCCAGGTGTGTTAACGGACCAAAACGGTATTTGAAGCGGGAATCAAAGAGTCTGGGGAAAAAAAAAAAAAAAAAATGATGTGACAAAAACATCTGATTTGAAGAAACTTGGTCCCATCTAATTTTTGGATGCTTAAAATGTATAGGATAACGGTTCAACCCTGCATTTTACCTGCATCATTAACAGGACAATTAAGACTTTTGGGATGCATGATTATGTGGATAAGATTTTTTCTTTTTGTACAGCATTAATTGTACTAAAGCCACTTACTGTCATGTGCAAGTGACTGAATCCAGTTTATGCAACAGATTGTGTTCCGTGGGTTGTGTGTGAGATACATGGTTGTGTGGATTCTGACAGTAATTATAGAAGTCTGTACCACAGCAGCCTGGGGCTGGCTCGGTAACAAGTCATTATAACATCTGATACATAACCAAATGTCAGCTGCGTCTGCAGCATTTGCTGCTAGCAGCAGGATATAAATCAACGGAGAGGCAGGCTTTGTTTGCTTTTGCTGCATAACTTTTCTTCTTCTTCTTCTTAATGGAAAATGGATTCGTATAAGTTTGACTTATCTTCAGATGTTATTTGCAATGTGCCTGCATCTATTTACTTTGTAGGTGAGGGCAGTCTTAATTGTGCTCAGTATTCCAGCATCAGTTTCAGTGTGTGACAGGAAAAACTGTCCATCACAAAGATTTTAGCCTTTCTCTTATGGCTGCAGTGAAAAGGTCTCTGTACTTTTCAGAGTTCAGTATGTTTATGGCTGTACTTGTTGCCTTCCTTTCAAAGCGTGGCAACAAGTATTGGTTGAACACCAACCAATTGTAAAACGTATAAAGCAGCAGGCACTAGGCCTCTTTACCTGGGGAAACAAAGCAGACACGGGTCCATTAATACTTCATCAACCCCTGCTGGCTGCTGCCTTTTTAGATTTGAAATCACGATGCAAATGTAAAGTAACATTGCTCTGTATGTGAACTAAATAGTCCCATTTATACCAATGTTCCTGTATGTTTTGGTTTTTGAAACCTCAGTAGAGAACTATAAACCTGAGCTTTGGGTGAAACTGCAGGGGATAATTATGCGGTGTGTTCACAGCACACATGGTCATTAATAACATTTAGGCCAAGCCTATTTTTACAGCTTCTAGCTTAGAGGCTAACATATGGCAGACGGGCTGACTGCACATAACAGGACGTACAGTTAAGTTTAATACACGCTCCTGCCTGGACGAGCAGGGCGTTTGTTTTGTGGATTGTAAGTATATCTGACAACAGCAGGGGGAACCACACTGTCCTGTTATACCAACTCAAACTCAGTTAGTCATGTGATCGGAGACATGTGGATCAAGATAATGTAGAACTCTGATAAGCTCTAGAGAAGAGGTCTGTGATAAAACGGTGCTATTTTATTTTACATTAGAGGTGCATTTAGTCAATTTTAGCTATCTATTGTCACTTATTCTATCTTTATACCACTTCACGGTATTTCAATATTGACTATTTTGCCTTGGTAAAAAGGAAGAAAAAAATAAAATAAAAAAAATAAAGACATTTTCATAAATTCAGAGTGACATTTTTTTCTTTAAATCATAACTAATTTATTGTTGGGGAGTGTGTCCATAACAGTATTGAGACTGTGAAACTCTTATGTTTTTCACACAGTGAAACTGGATCACAACAGTACCTATCATCCAGAACACTACCCAAGATGACACATTGGACATTAGCTCAGAGCCTGGCAGTGCCACCTTAACAGCCACACAGCTGCAAGCAGAGTCTTATGACCTCGAACTAGAGGAAGGGCAGCACATCAGCTTCGCCAACACGCATACAAACACGCAAACAAATGGCTAAATCTATCTCTTTTTATGGGCAAGTACATCTGCAAATATTAATCTTTTCATAGTTTTTCTTATTTCATGGTTGTTACCAAACATTTGGCCTTTCACACAGTGCTGATCACTCATCCACTAAGATCCAAATAAACATGCAGTTCATTCAGTTTTGCCTGTTTCTAAAAAAAAAAAAAAGATTCTCAGCTCATAAGCTCACACAGTATTTTAATCTAAGAACTTAACCCGTTTAATCCCCTTTTTTTCCCAGCGTTACAGGCAGGAAGTAAAGAGGTCTGGTCATGTGACCTTTCACTCTAGATACATGAAATTGATATTGCTTAGAGTAGACAATCTATTATTTGACTTAAAAACTTCAATCAGTTGCTAAAAGTCAAAACAATTCTTATAGAAGTACAGAAGTTAGGAAAAATGTCTGGCAACAATTGTTGCCGGTGGTATTAAATGCACTGCACTGAGAAATTGAAGATCTGGGGTTTAGATGAGATGTGTGTTGCTTTAGCATTAGCACTCAGAGATTTATTTATTATTTTTTTTTTTTCACAGATTCAGAAAATTGATATGGACTTGTGAATACTATAAATTTATGTTGGTATGTTGCACATGAAATTTTTCTGTAGAATTTACTGGTAACAAAAAGAGTAAGAAACTGATTTATATAAGTGAACAGAAGACAAATTCCATTGAAAATGTTTTGTCTTTAACAACGGCATCTGCAGGGCCTCCTGTGAAACAGTGATAACCTCGAGAGCCCTTGATGTCCCTTTGGATGTCTGTGTTGTGTCACTTTAAGAAGATGAAGATGTCGAGATTTGATGTTGTATGAAAGTAATAACCCCCTCTTCCTAATGGGTGTCAGTGACATGGCAAACAAGCTCAGAGCTGTTTGTGAAGCGTTAATGTTGGTTGTTTTCCTCTCACAGCAGGTCATCACTCGCTTATCCCAGACAGATCTTCATATCTTCTTCTACCTCCTATCTGTTTACTGTTGTGTTGAAATCACTATGTGTCTTTATCTTACACCCCTCATTTGCCATTGTTTCTTTTACCGCTGTTGCCCGGAGCTAATGCCACTGTTTAAATCCAAAGTTGAGATTTCTGTAGGTTTCAAAAGACTCTAGTGTTACGCTTGACCACCCTATGAAAACTGAAACCTAGAACACACACACACACACACACACACGCCCACACGCACACACACACACACACAGTAAGAGCCAGCGGGGGTCCCCTAAACCTTTGTTTTACACCATAGTGTTGATTTAATTTAATATACTGCTTAACTGAGTATGTGCATGTGTGCTGGGGAGGACTGAGGCAAGGAAACAGTAATTAGTTTTCATGCTAATTGGACTTGCTTGATAACTCCCACACAAACTCGACAGTGTGGAAACCACAGTGGGGCAGGCTGGCCTGCTCATTTCACACACCCAGGTGTTTTGTTTGCACGGCAGAACACACGAAAGCACGCAAAAGTGTGTGTGCAAAAATAAATAAAGGACCACCGATGCGTGAATTAAACGGCATTAAAAGCACTTTGAATGGCCAGGGTCTGCTAGACCTTTGCAGATGAATTAATGATGTGAATTTCTTGATCCAAGATCAGAGTCTATGCTCAGAGAAAGCCATCTGGGTGATCACATTCAGTTGGATGTGCATATATAACATGTTTGAGAAAAGATTTGGTAATCGGTGCTGTTGAAATTAATTAATGTTTTCTTGGAACCTTGTAAACACAGAGAAAGCATGCAGGCAACAGCACAGTTTCTAGACTATCATTTATCACTATCAAACTGCTGAGTATGTAATTTGTCTCGATGTAGTGTGGTCCTGGATAGCATTCCTTAAATGCATGGGTGGTGTCCTTGATGTCAGCCTGCTACACTGTAAATCTCTCTGCTGATATGCTCTTGACTCCCTCTAGAGATATTTTTGAACTCTGAGGTCACTGACCTTCAGCCAGGGTCACTTTCTCTCTCGGGGGAGGTCCTTGTTTTGCTTTAATGATACCTGCATTCTTTTTCTATCTCTATCTTGACTTATTTTTTTTCCCCAGTTTTTTCTGTTAGCCACTCAATAAAATTAGATGCTAATACCTCAAAGACTTTTGGAGGTTTGAAGCTCAATATTATGTCATCAGTGTTTAAAGACTGATTCTCATTCATACTGATGTTTGTGTAGACGAGATCCTTGGTTGCTGCTTTTCTTCTCTCGCCAACTTACAATTACTATGTGATAATAGCCACTGCTGAACTTTCTATGGGTCTTCAAGATTATTTAGCCTGTGGGAGTATTTGAGTGGTAAATTAAAGAAGTCAAGTGGGAGATTAGTTGATTCTTTGTAGCTTCAAGGTCTCTGCAAGGTCTCATTATTCTCTGTGATATCTACAAGACAGACAGTACTCTTCCCTACTTATGTCTTCATGAATGTTTTACAAGATTGACACTTTTGGCCCATCTTAAAGTACTCTTTAACTTCTATCTGGTTTAGTAAGAGTAAAATGGCTCCCTGTCTTGTTACAAATTTCAAAGTTTTGTTTTTTGTTCTACTTTTAATTTTACTTCAAAAAGACGTTGTTGGCATATTAGCAGTATGGCTGGCATTACCAAAACTACAATTTCTCCAGAGCATTCAAACGTTTACTTACCTGAGATTTTCAACAAGTTCCCAATATTTTGGTATCCAGTGTTTTTCATCACAAACAGAGGCTGAACTGTCAAAGCATTTAAAAAGACCGATGTTGCTCTACGTTATCTCCCTACTTATGTCTTCATGAATGTATTACAAGATTGACACTTGTAATACAAGTGTATGCACTCACAATGGCCAAAGTGAATATCAGACACGTCAAATTGGCCTATATTCAAAAATTATAGTAAACAGAAATGCCTGTCCAAAATAACCAGTGAGATTGCACACTAGATCATATGCTGGAAGGTGGTTGAAATTGCAGTACACAACTTCACTTCGGTCTAAATTGCAGCCCTCAGGAAGCTGAGGGGAACATGCTGCTACAGGTGCTCGAAAAAGGACGGCTCGGCATGTTTTAGCAGGTGTATCCGTATTTGAAACCACATTGTAAAAATAGTGTGCAAAAAAAAAAAACCCTACATTGTGTTACCAGCTGACCTTGTTCACACAGGAAATGAAAATGTGGTTGTAGATCAGTCGTAGGTTTTACCACTTGATGATTTCCCAGCTTTTAGCCCATCAGCTTTTGTGCCAACCCATTTAAGTTTTACAGCCTTACAAAGGGGACTGCTGAGAACCATTGTGTTGCACATTCCTTACCACGCAAAAGTGGAAATGGTGGAAATCAGGCTGTAATAATAGCCACTGTTTATGTTCTTACCCAAATCCTGCTTAATTTCAAATAAATGCACAAACAGTGAAGATGAAGCTTCAAATAGGAACATTTCAACATGTAATCACTGTTCGGTTAGTGTCTGTTGAAATAAGCAGAGTTACCTCTGTGTTCTCTTGTCTGACAGTGCAGCAGCATGAGTTGTATTTGTAGGAAAAGGTGGCTATATACATAAGATATATCATTAGCAAATTAAACAGACTTCCTTTTCTTTCTCACTAATAGTTTGACCCTTCAGTTTGTGGACCTCAAGGTAGGGGTCTGGCTGTGGGTAAACATTTTTTAAACTATATTTGTGCAGAGGAGTAAGTGTTTCAAGCACTATGTCCATCAGCTTTAAAGATGCAAACACGGCCACTGCTCTAAAGAGCAACACTGTTGGACAGCTCAAACTTTAACAATAGTAAGGTCATGTTGTCTGTTACAATACAAGCCTTACCGGCCTTTGCTTTTGCACTACCAATATTACAGATTAGAGGTTAACAGTGCAGACCTCCCACACTGTCAAATCACCACCCAGCAAAGCAGGTCTTATGAGGGGGAGAGTGTTTCTCTGTGTTTAGACTATAAGCAGGACGCTGGTGAGCAGCTTCCACTCATCCAAGACCTCTAAAAGTCCTTCCTCACCTACATAAACTTTGAAACTTGATAATGTGTGCAAAGGAATGTTTAGTGCCAACAAAGACGGGGTATGGACACAGAAATCTTTAGTTAATCACATGCAATCTGCATATTGTCACCTTCCTAAAATAATGGCCTAAGTCTATTTTTTTTTTTTTTTTTTTTGCCAAAAGATTATTTAGGCAAAAAAAAAGAAAGAAAGAAAAACTCACTTTTGACAAAAAGTTACTTATTATTTTAGGAAGGTTACCAGGTTAGTGGATTAGACCGAAGTAGTCTTAACTTTTTTGATAACAAGTGTTTAAATGCCAATGGGCTTTCTTTAAAGAGAAGAAAGATTACTTCAGCTCTGCATTTTTTGCATTTCTTCTGAGGTCTGAGTTCTATGGTAGATTAGGCAAATTAAATCAGTTGTCGTGTGAATAGTCCTCCTTGCTTGAGGTTTGGGGGACCTATACCCTATCATAACACTCTCTTTAGCATTTTTGCTAGGAGTGTTCATGTTACACCTTTCTTTCTTTCTTTCTTTTTTTCTGGTATGGGTGTTTTTACTTGATGCTAAGAAGATAATCAGGGATTAACATGTTATGCCTTATCACTGATTTCTTACCATGTCCAAGGCTTTTAGTCTGTGTTTGTCTTTCAGTTTTCTCAATTGTTACAATGTGCAACATGTGCAAAGTTGATTAAAACTAACTTTGATAGCTGAGTTTGCACATTGTGATTCCAGGTTTCTGAGCATTTATGTAGATTAAATGTGAAATGACTAAGGCAGAAAAAAAAATGCAGGGAACGCCCAACCTTCAAGAAGTGTTTATTGCTGCATGTTCAAAAAGATCTCTACCCTAATGTTAACCAAAAAACTTGATATTCACTATTCGTAAGCTCAACAGAACATTGCCGTTAATGTTCAATGCGGTATCCATTCTGCTTCATGGTATCCATTTCAAACCAGTCCAAATGCACATGAATTTCTTATCTAGCAGAGCTAAACTTGTCCATAAAACACATTTCTAACCAGAATAGCACAGAATGCCTTCCATTTACTGAACTGCCACATGAAACTCTAGATTTCTGGTTTTATATTAGCTTCAACATTTACCCAAGGATACTCAGAAAACATTTACTTATGGGACTGATATGTGTCAGAAATTAGCTGGAAAAAATGTGAACCAGATGACATTTTCCAAGAGTTGCATAAGAAAACTATGTGGAACTGAGTCAGATTTCTTGTTTATTTGCACAAACTCTGGAAATAAAACTTGTTTGATCAGCCTTTGCAGGATTGACACAACGCAACTTTGGTTAAAATTTTTAACCCACATAGCAAATTTTCCAAGCCAATTTCCCTAAAACCAGTTTGAAAACAACTCAGGACCTTCATGTGTGTGCCACTGGTTTGCTGATATTCAAATCAAATGGGTCCCATAGAAGAAGCCCATTTTGTGACCAGCCACAAATAGCGCTCTTACAAACTGAGCAAGCTACATATAGTAATATGATACTTCTAGTAAGATGTTACTATTATGAACAAGTTCTTACGAATGTGAATAATCACTTGCCAATTGCAATACAAGCCGATAACAATGCTTTTCATATGCACATAGCTAAACTGTATGTAATGCAGCCATACACGATGTAAAAATTCATGGTACAGTGCTGCAGTGAATGGTATTTCAGTCACACCTCACTGTACTATTGAACTGTTTTACTATATAGCTACGTAGTTGAGACCTAACATTACACACATGTTTAGACTCCCAGTGAAACTGGAGCTTTGGAGGATTATTGTGTAACTGATCGCCTTTTGCACAGTTGCAGAAAGGAATGTGGGGTGAACAGTTTTTTTTTTGTTTGTTTGTTTTTGTATCTTTTCTTTTACTTTTAATTATTTGGCTGCATGTGGTGACTGAGCTAATAAACAGCAGACAATGCAACATTTTTGGCTGGGTAAAAGTGGAGCTGAAGCAGGATGAGTGAAATACTTTTGCTCTCTACCTCTTCATCTCCGGTTGTGTCACACGACCTGACAGCTGGGCCTGCTCTGAGAAAATGAGCTATGAGAAAATGCGCTCTTTACAACAACAGGGAGAGCCAGAGACAGCTTCAGGACTTCTTCATTATCAAGGAGACGCCTGCAGGCAGGGCATAACAAATGGCTGATCAGACAGGAGAGCTGTGCAATTTCATGCTTGTACATTAAGTGTTCG